TTGGATCATAATTTCATCAACCAAAAAAATAAAAAAAATTCACCCACTCCCTTTTTAACACCTCAGATGTATGTAAATTATTAAGTAATTCTATTATGTACAAGTAGTATTATTCACTTCAAATAATTTTTCAAGAACTCATTTTTTTCGAAACTAAACGTTCTTTCATAAAATAAATTTACAATTATACTAAAAAAAAATTTATTTGTTAGCCGTACATTCTTCTAAAAATTCAATATTTCAAAATATATTTTTTCATGTGTGCAAATGTACATTCATTTGTTGGAAATTTGAGCCTTTTTAGGGAATCATTCGTTGGTTGGTCCAAAAAATGCTTTTAGTACATGCAATTGTGTATATGAAAACACTCAAACCAGTATTATTTTAATAAAATAAACCAACAAAATCCTCGCAACCTAGCTACCATTTCAAACAACCATGCCAGAATTAACGTTTCCAAAGCTCCCCAAATTCAGCCCCGTTCTTTTGAAAAAAAAATATTTTTAAACAATATTTTGACATTATTTCAATTACACATTTTTTAATAAAATAATATTATCCACAAATTCAAAATTTTTCCTTATTTTTTAACCACACATTTTCAATCAATACACTATTCAAAAATTTATTCTTATAAAAAAAAAATGGGGGCTCAAACAAGAAAAGTTTGTAAACACATGTCCCTTGACCATTGGTATTAACCCTCGAAACCGACATTTCTAATTTTCTATGATTGTCGTGACCAGTGTCCAAGGTTTCCGTATACAAATCTCCAATGTTGATAAATTATGGACTGTAAGGATACATTAGATTTACTAAAAAAAACTTATGCATAGTACTCATTTGTCGATGACTACTATATAAGTCGACCACACCGTGGCATTCAAGCTCACTCAGCTAGTGCATTTCGCAATCATAATATATCCACATTATCACTTCATTTCCATCTTAATCTTGTTGGTTAATGAATTTTAATCATCACAATAGGAAATTAATTTTCCTTTGAAGATTAAAATCATGTAAATAAGGATTTAATTGACCTTAAGATCATTAGATTATAAAATCCTCACATATAGAAAGGGGAGATGTAACCTTTTTTAAGGAGCTATTAATGGTCTAGCCAATTACTTCCTCCCTTAGATCTTCTCTCTTGTTCTCCACTAGATATAGTTTCTTTTTGGGGAATGTGAAAAGTGGCTAACCCTAATTCTCACAAAAAATATGCCAATACATATTTATAATACCCTATTAGGGTTTGAAAATTGCACAAATTTCCTTGGACTTTATTATAGTAGGCCAATTAAGTCACACGCTTTTTATTGGAGCCAAGAGAGGGATCTAACCGGACTCACATGACCCAAACTCTAATAGATATTTTCAATTGGGTCAACTCTTGACCAATTGAGATACGTCTATTAATCCCGACTTATTCTACCAAAAATCGAGATTGCACTTTTGAGTCGAGTGATAGTTATAGAAGCAAATTATGATCCAATAACAATATCCTGTCGTTCCACAACTCCACCCCCATTTGACCATCAATATGTTGAAACAGGCAAAATGATCGTTTTGCCCTTCAACATGTATTACCCTCTAAGTTTCATTTTCATACGGCAAATTCATTGTGATCAAATCACAATGTAAAGTCCAACGATCTCATCGTCGACCTACTGAGTTCAAATTCAATTTGCCTAGGAAAATACCTTAGAGTGACGATCGTCTCATCTCAGATTAATGGATTCCAATATTGTAAGTATATGATCTCTAATTGTTTCGACCCGATTCCCAAAGCATCGAGATCAATCTTCTATTTAAGACTTCATTCATTGGTACCTCAAAGAACTTGAACTAACAATCAAAGGTACATTACTCACTTAGGATTTAGGTGACATGTTTGATAATTAAGTAGAGTCTCATTTCAAACGGTCACAAATGAGTCATCTATGCGGTCCCATTCAATGTGCATCGAAACAAATTATTTTTCCTATTTTAAGATCTAGATAAATCTTAATAAGAACAATACAATCTTATCAACATAAAGCGTCCAACTTTATGAACCGATTGTGAATGACGTAATTTTGATCATATCACAAATTGTGTCTTACTATACCCGATCCATCGAGTATACAATTTGTGATGTCCTATATGATCATGGAACCATAGACAATCACTTCAAATTATAACACGCAAATAAACGAACGTAAATTCATAATGTGATTTTACAGAACACTACTCGAAGAATGGGCATCAAACTAACAATCTCCCACTTGCCCTTCTTAGAGTATGTGTGACATATCAAGAATACCCATCCCCTTAAGATGTCCATCAAAAGCCTTAACTGGTAAGATCTTAGTGAACGGATCAACAAGATTATCTGCTGATGCAATCTTACTAACCGTCACGTCTCCTCGATGAACAATTTCTCTAACAAGGTGATATTTTCTCTCGATGTGCTTGCCATGCTGATGACTCCTTGATTCTTTAGCATTGGCAACCACCCAACTATTATCGCAATAAAGCGTTATGGGCCCCATTGCCAAAGGTGCCACGTCAAGGTCCAAAATAAACTTCTTGAACCGTATAGCTTCTTTAGCAGCTTCACAAGCCGCTACATATTCTGCCTCCATAGTGGAATCAGCAATACAAGATTGCTTGATACTCCTCCATACCACAGCTCCACCTCCTAGTGTAAATATTGATCCCGATGTAGACTTCTTAGAGTCACGATCAGATTGAAAATCGGAATCAATATATCCAATAGGATTTAGATCATGTCTTGAGTCGACAAGCATATAATCTCTCGTTCTCCGAAGATACTAGAGTATATGCTTTACCGCTACCCAATGTTCTAGTCCTGGATTAGACTAATAACGACTAACAATACCCACAGTATAACAAATATCCGATCTAGTGCAAAGCATAGCATACATGAGACTTCCCACAGCCGAAGCATAAGGACATTTCTCATGTAATCTATCTCCGTTGCATTCTTGGGACAGTACTCTTTAGATAAATGAATTCCATGTTTAAAAGGAAGTTGTCCCTTTTTGGAATTCTGCATTGCAAATCTGGACAATATTTTGTCAATATATGAAGATTGGGATAATGCAATCCTTCTGTTTTTCCTATCTCGCAAGATACGGATTCGTAAAACATAACTAGTTTCTCCCAAATCCTTCATATCAAACTACTATGACAACCATTTCTTTACAGATGACAATGTCCCTACATCATTTCCAATGAGTAGAATGTCATCTATATAAAGAATCAGAAAAACTACTTTCTTCCCTTGTATTCGTTTGTACACACAAAGTTCATCCAGATTTTGCTCAAAATCATAGGTCTTGATGGTTTGATCAAATCTTACATTCCAAGATCTGGACACTTGCTTGAGTCCATAAATGGACCTCTGCAACTTGCAAACTTTCTTTTCATGGTCTTTTTTCACAAACCCTTCAGGTTGCATCATGTAAATGGTCTCTTCAAGACGTCCATTTAAAAATGCTGTCTTGACATCCATTTGCCAAACCTCATAATCATAATAAGCGGCAATGGATAAAAAGACTCGAATAGATTTAAGCATGGCAACCGGTGAGAAAGTTTCTTCATAGTCAATACCTTCTCTTTGGGTAAAACCCTTGGCCACTAGCCTTGCTTTGAAGGTTTCAACCTTCCCATCTATACCTCTTTTCCTTTTAAGACCCACTTGTATCTTATAGGCTTCACCTCATTAGGTGCATTTATAATATCTCAAACCTTATTGGAATACATAGATTCCATTTCTAAGTTCATGGCTAATTTCCATGATTCAAAGTCTACATCCTCCATTGCTTCCCTAAATGAAGTGAGATCTTCTTCTTGCTTAGTAGAGATCGCCTGATAGGATTCTCCATAGAGCAAGTACCTAGAAGGTGGTCTTATAACCCTCCCACTACGAGTAATGGTTGAAGGTGCCTGATTGTCCAGTCTGACCAAAGGTCCTTCCTCTCTTCCCACTGTTTGATCCTGTCCTTGGTTAGGAACAATATCCTCATTATCCCCATTTGAAAGGACATGTGGAGATACAACAATGGGTACCTCATTTTCTACTACCTTTGGTTCTATTTGCCTATGAGGCCCTGTGAGCATCACTTGCTCACTTGCTTCATCAGCAACCATTGGTTTAGTAGGAGGTTCCAAGTCATCACTATTAAATTCTATGCGAAAATCTGGAATTGAGTTGTTTGAACCATGTTCTAACATCTCTTCCAATAGAATCTTAGTAGTAGACTTGTGTTCTTCTATATACTTTCTTATCAAGAGGATTATAGAAGTAGTAACCTCTCGTTCCTTTTGGATATCCTACAAAGAAACAAACATTTGATCTTGATTCTATCTTATTAATCTTTCCCTTTAGCACATGTGTTGGACATCCTCATATCCGAATGTGTTGTAAATTGGGCTTGCGCCCATTCCAAAATTCAAGAGGTTTCTTGGGAACTAACTTAGATGGTATCAAATTAAAGATATAAATGGTTGTTTGTAGTGCATATCCCCAAAAGGATATAGGCAATGAGGAAAAACTCATCATTGATCTTACCATATCTAAAAGAGTTCGATTTCTTCTTTCCGAGACACCATTCTGTTGGGGAGTTCTTAGTGCACTCAATTGGGATAATATCCCATTATCCGATAAATAGACCTTAAACTCTTGGGATAGATACTCGCCACCTCGATCAGATCGAAGGGCCTTGACACTCTTACCTAATTGTTTCTCAACTTCCGTCCGAAACTCCTTGAATTTCTCCAAAGTTTCGGATTTGTGAGACATAAGGTATATGTATCCAAATCTAGAGTAATCATCTGTGAAGGTGATGAAGTACTCGTATCCTCCTCTAGCCCGAGTACTAATAGGTCCACAGACATCGGAATGTACTAATTTCAAAACCTCTTTAGCCCTTAGTCCTTTAGCCTTAAAGGGCCTCTTGGTCATCTTTCCTTCTATATAAGATTCACAAGTTTGTATAGATTCCACCTCTAAATCATTTAAAGGACCATCCTTTACCAATCTTTGAATCCTATTTAGATTGATATGACCCAATCTAAGATGCCATAAGAGAGTTTC